AGTGATATAAAATATCATTAAAAAACCTCTTATAATTAAATAAAATTAAATATTCTTTATACGTGTATTTTATTATATAACATTATCAGTTGGCAAAGAAATAGATTATTACGTTGGACGAAGCTGATAATTTAAAAGGATAGAATTTGTAATATATTAATCAATTTCTGCGGATTACTCAGAAACGTATAAAGAATATTAATGAAATACTTTATTATAGTCACCAAGTGACAGTCGCCGCGCGGCAAAAAGACACGCGATCTCCGGTGTCATCCTTCGCACACATTGAATCACGCACACGGACACGTTTCTATGTGTATGTGTGCACACAGGTCAGTGGTACCGAGAGACCGATCGCTTCACAGGGCGAGCAAACACGACGCCATGTTTGCCGACGTTCGGCAACACTTTATTCTCTCTTCCGTAGAAAAGGCCCAAAAAATCTCCCTCTGTCTCTCTTCGATTGGCTTCCACGCATTCGTACGTATGTATATTTAAGCGAGCCGGCATGTGTGTGTGTGTGTGTGTGTGTGTGTGTCGTGAAAACACGCGTGTGGGTGCGCGTGTGGATCCACGCATAGGGTAGAGGAACTCTCTCGGTTCCCATACGAGGAGAAGGAGACGAAAAAGAAATAGCGAGCGAGGGAGCAAATATTGATGGAAGTCGAAAAAATGTTAAAAGCCATTCGACTCGTTATTCGGTCAGCTATAGTCGAGGACGAAAATTCATGGTCCAATGAGAAAAAAAAGAAAAGAAAAAAAAAAAAAAGAACAAGCAGTCGAGGAAGTAAAAATCTTCATCTTGGTATTATGTAACATCGCCATATCTCCCGTCTCTCGAATTATATTACTCCCTGTTAAATTTATATTTTAGAGGATGCATCATTTTCGTTTCGGATATTTTTACAATAAGCAGTCTGAAATTTTGTACTTGCAACTTAACATTTTTCGCGACGATAAAATAAAAATAATTTCTTTCGATCGAATGATATACGAGTCAAGGATATTAAAATAATCTTTGTCTATAATCTTTGATCGCGCAGATCGAGTCGAGTTTACCAGGATCAAGAGAGAAATTAATAAATGGAAATTGAATGGCGTGGTAAAAGGATTTTAAAGCCGATCATTCGACGCAATTCGCGTAATTCGATGAACAAAATCTCGGCACCTCGACCTCCTCACCTCCTCACCTTCACTCTCTCGAGGGAGTACCTGATATTACTTCGCTCCTATCATCCCGGCGCTCCCCCTTTCGCAACAATCGGATCGGTTTCCAACTCTAACAACCCCTTTCCTCCATCCCTGGTGGCTTAAAATTCCTGGATGCGAACGCGAGATGCGACGAAGGAAAGGGAAGGGGTGGAGGGTTGTTGCACTCTCCGACTGCGAATTAAGCCCGGCCGGCGGAGGTTAAGGCAAGAGAGGTGGTGGAAGAGAGCGGCAAGGGGAGAGGGGGGGGGGGGGGGAAGGCAGGGTGGTTGCAGGAGAGGGACGGGGGAGCGTGCTATTATGCTCCATTATGAATGGTAACCAGTAGCCAAAGGAAGGGAAACTCCGTGGGGTGTCGATATATTGCCATCCCTGGAAAACCGTGGCGGCCATGCCTCGTAAATAATAACCGGGGGCATTATGTGCACCGGCGCGCGGGCACAAATTGCCGGGGGTATATAACGCCGGGCGCGTGTTCAGGCATCGACCTATCCGGATATGCGCCTTGTAGAGGCCAGTTCGATTATCGGTATTCCATCGATACCGTGTTAATTGCCGAAGTATCCGCCGACGTGGATCGACTTTTCTCCTCCGTCAGAGAGAGAGAGAGAGAGAGAGAGAGAGTCGCCCGAAAAACATTAATTGAACGGAGAGATTCGATCCGATTGCACGTGTTTTGAAATATTATTTGAAAATTTTTGTAGACATAATTAAATACGTCAAATTTAAAAAAATGACTAATAATAATTATTTATCTTTTGGTATTATTTATTTATTAATTATATATTGTATTATTGTGTATTTTATCGCCAGTATATATTATTGAGTAAAAAATAGAGTACATTAATAATTATTATGACGCAATATTTATATAAATATTGATACATAAAATAATGTTGAAAAAATTTTCTTATTATAAAAAAAAAATAAATATTTTTTATATTTTATTGTATAACATTATCAGCTGGCAAAGAAATAGATTATTACGTTGGACGAAGCTGATAATGTAAAAAAAGAGATTTTGTAATATATGATATTATATCAATTAATATCTGCGGATTACTCGGAATCGTGTAAAGAAAATTAATGGAATACTTTATTATAGTTACCAAGTGACAGTCGCCGAAAACAATGGATTATTTTGTACTATAATTTACAATTTGAATTTAGAAAGATTATCGCGCACGATCTAAAATGGAGATATAAAATCGTCTAAAAATTTCTCGATATTCATCTCGAGGAAGGTTGTATGCAAGTATGGGAAATTTTATGACGCACCCTCTGCGACTGTATCCGCGTAAATTGAGCGGCAGAATTGACTACTCGCACATTGACCGGGGATCGGTTTATTGGAAACGGGGCAGCGCGATTTGAGATCGATCGACCATGAAACGATCTCGGGAATTCAACGACCACGTCGCGTATCTCATTTCTTCACCTGCGAACGGCGCTCGTCATCCGATACCTTTTCCTTTCGTTGATCGAAGGTCGCTGTGAAATTTTTCATTCAGCCGGAAGACCTGTCTTTCGTGAAATCAGTCCTCGTTCTTTATCTCCCGCATCTGGAAAAGACACGTGTTCCGCATCTCCTTCTGCCGTAACGAATTACATTTACGTTTCGCGGGCGGACTTTGTGCGACTTTGTAATATGAATTACAAAATCTGAGTTAATTTTATTTTTAAATAATTTTTAAATAATTTTGAATTATTAATAACATAGGTATTATAAGAGAGAAATAAGATGTGGAAAAATTCAATATTAAATATCTGTATTCGAATATAAATTAATGAGAGACGAGATAAATTAGAATGTCATTTATCGAAAAATACTTTTGATTAATTTTACTTTTCGAAATCAAAATTAATTTAACAGATCAAAAAAAAATGGGACGCGAATTCAAACGGAGACATTTATGTGGAATATCAATATCTTATTTATTGGATGTATCTTCGGTCTATACATTTTTTTCGAGTAACATGTGATTTGTGGTAACTACGATAAAACGATGCTTCCGGTCCGCTAGCGGCTAAAATCTAAATATCTTGCAGGCGTTATTTACTTACAGGCAAAACACTTATATGTATATTACGTGTGTACGCGTTTAACATATTCCGGCAAATCTCGAGATTAATGCAAGATAAAATTAGCTATATAGACGTTGTATTTACAGACTCACCTCCCCCTCTCCCGTTCGGATGATATACTCGTCGAGAACTTGTTACCTACATACACACACACATATCTCTGTCTATATTAGTCTTTATCTACACATGTGTAAAGTATACTCTGGAGACGAATTGCGGCTGCAGATCCCTTCACCTTCCGGCTTCTTTCCTCGCATCATCATGTACGATAACAGAATCCTGGCGCGGAATTTTCTTTTCTTTTTTTTTTTTTTTTAACGCGGAGATATCTGATTAATCCGAGCATCTTTTCCGCGGGTAGAGAAATGTATACGTGTATGGATATTAAAATGGATTGTCGGACACTCTCGCTAAGTCCTCGACGCTCTCGCAAAGATGCAAAAAGCGAGGATATTTATTCATTTATTGTCTACTGGAACAGCTTCATTAATGAGTCGATAATGAGTGGATCCGATTCTTCGATCTAGAGTTTCTTCTCAGGACGATCGGTCTCTCAAAGTCGTAGTTTTCTTCTTGAAGTAGAACTTCCCTCCGCGACACATATTTTGCTAATCATCGAAATTACGTATATTCTCGCTAGCGAAAGGACGGCCAGTCACTAAATTTATTCGCCGTGTAAAGATGATTTAAAAACGATGTCCAGTCCGAGGAATCGGAAAAGGATCTCTCTCTCTCTCTCTCTCGCCTCGTAGATATATTTAGGATATTCCGTTCTCTCTCACCCCACTGCGAACTCTCGTCTATTCCGCGTATTCAGAAATTACGTGGGCATTACCCTCGGAATATTCAAAATCGTTCGCTTAGGAGATGCTGGAAGACTCGCCGATCGATTAATTCCAAGCAGTTGGTTTCTCGATAGGAGGATTGTCGATTCCGCCAGTGTATAATTTCCGATCGAACGATCGATCAAACGTGATCGCGTTATTGTCGTCGCGCGATTATAGAATTATAAATAATCTTTTGGTCATACACGCGGATGAGGGCTAAGACCGGCGTCGAAGTCCCTCTCTCTCTCTCTCTCTCTCTCTTCGCGCAGCCTTGAACTTCCCTCCGCGACACATATTTTGCTAATCATCGAAATTACGTATATTCTCGCTAGCGAAAGGACGGCCAGTCACTAAATTTATTCGCCGTGTAAAGATGATTTAAAAACGATGTCCAGTCCGAGGAATCGGAAAAGGATCTCTCTCTCTCTCTCTCTCGCCTCGTAGATATATTTAGGATATTCCGTTCTCTCTCACCCCACTGCGAACTCTCGTCTATTCCGCGTATTCAGAAATTACGTGGGCATTACCCTCGGAATATTCAAAATCGTTCGCTTAGGAGATGCTGGAAGACTCGCCGATCGATTAATTCCAAGCAGTTGGTTTCTCGATAGGAGGATTGTCGATTCCGCCAGTGTATAATTTCCGATCGAACGATCGATCAAACGTGATCGCGTTATTGTCGTCGCGCGATTATAGAATTATAAATAATCTTTTGGTCATACACGGATGAGGGCTAAGACCGGCGTCGAAGTCCCCCTCTCTCTCTCTCTCTCTCTTCGCGCAGCCTTGTTATCCGGCAGGAACACGCGTCGTTGTCGTCGTCGTCCGTTATGGGACTATCGAGGGATACGACCAGACGGCGGCATGGCTTTCGTCCGGTCACTCGGAGTAGCTGGTCTTGTCGCTGGCGTCGTCGGGACTGGTCTCCCGGTAGGCGTCCCCGGCGGTGCCGTTGGCGTGCAGGCTCTGGTTCGGCGGCTTGATGACGGTGGGCAGGTAACCGGTGCCGGTGTACGGCGCGGCCAGGAAGCGGTGCCGCGTCGACGGTATCGGGGTCGTGCAGTAAGCGGCCCGGGTCGCGTACGCCGAGACGGATGCGGCGGAGGCCGCGGCCGCCGACGCCAGGGCGCCCGCCAGCGGCGAGAATGCCGATTTGGGCTGCAGGCTGTCCTCGCAGACCAGCACCTCCATGGCTGATACCACGTCGCCTGCCGACAAACAGGCAGATTCTCTCTTTCGTCTCTCTGGCATCGCGATCTTATGGTATTATTAGGGCTCGCTATTATACGATTTAAACGAAAACACGTTTGCACGTATAATTAGCATATTAAAATGTATTAATTGTTTATTATGTTTATTTAAATGTATTTTTTAGAAACGTCTCCGAATATTTTGACGTTTTTTTTTTTTTATAAACGTTTATTCCTTTATTAAGTATTTTACTTTTGAATGTACTTTATCAGTGAAATATTTATCACAGGTATAGTTATGTTGTTGTTAGTTAGAAATTATAAGAGTATATCTATAGAGAAATTTTTTCTCTCATTACGAAAATTTTCTTTGACTGTAAAAAATGTTTGGATGAGTAAAAACGGAAGAAATATGCATATAACAATATAATAACATCAAAAATACAATATATAATAATATAATAACATCAAAACAGTATATATTTGAAAATAGACGTTTCTAAAATAAATAGATGTACTAAATATAAAAGTAAATATGTTTTCATTTAAACATATAATAGCAAGCCTTACGTGCAAACGTTTTCTTACAAGTTTTCCTGAAAGTGAATGTAAACGGATAAATCCGACTTTCACGATTACATGTCTATTCGAAAAATTGTCGTTACATTGTCAAAGAAATGAAATAATAATGACGAGGCGATAATAATCGTCGCGAAGAGAAGAGAACTATGATATAATAAGAGTGACAGTTAGAATATTGTAATTTATTCGAACAGGAAATTTGCAACTCGCGTGTTAACAAGTTGTAATTTTCTATTTAAAAAATGAAGCGATTATCGAGGTGGAAATGAAATAATGAACACCAATTTGTAATTTTCCTCGTAACTTACTGCGTATACGCAGTTTTTCGAGCAATTAAATATAATTATATCCTGGCAAAAAAAATTATCAAAATGTATATATATAAATTTGATTTTAAAAAGCGGATAGAAATTTTCTTAAGAGTTTGAAAGTGCTTGGATTATACTCGTCATGAAAAAAAGCATATATCAATCATATCATCGCCGTCGTTGTAACGTTTTCGAAACGAACTTTCGCCTTGCGTATGATTATTCAAAAAGCTTCTCCCTCATCGATTGAGAACTCCCGAAAGAACTGGAAGATCCTACCTTTGCAACGATGGAGAAGCGCTTCGACGTCACCGCGACGTCTTCCGGGGAACACCCGCAGCAGGACGTCCACCGGCGAACGTTGTTGCTGTTGTTGCTGCTGCTGCTGTTGCTGCAGTTGCAATCCGCAGGTCTGCTGGAGACTCTGCATCTGCATCTGCATCTGAATCTCTCGCGGCTCGGGTATGTGATGGTGGTGCTGATGCTGATAGAGCGCCGGCGTGCAATACGCCAGCGGGCTCGCCGTCGGTCCGTAAAGAGGCGCGTACGGAGGAAAGTGCACCGTCGCCGCGGCCTGCAAAATCGCGAGAGCGTGTTTGTAAATTGTCGGATCTCGTGGTTTTGTCTTCACAAATATAAGAAAAAAAAACCCCTTCCTTCTCCCTTTGATGTTACGCCGCGATGCGGATAAATATACCGCGTGTTTTTTTTATTAACGAAGAGAACCTTATTCGCTGAAATATTTCGTGATAACGATTTCGAGAAAGAGATCAGGGTGTCTACCTAAAACTTGTAAAAAAAAATTTCTGTTTATCCAAGATATTTTTGTTCAAATTCTAGATAAAGAATACTTTAAAGATCTTTTGGTGCAAAGACTGTTTATAATAAGTTTTTTTTATTATATACGTCTTCTAATAACTTTCATGCATACAAAGGGAAAACATAGAGCTATTTAAGTTTTAAGTGCTAAATTTGCAAATGTACTGAAAAAACTGAATAGCTTTTGTAAGATAAACGTTTTTTACTTGCGTAACATTTTCATTTTTTCATCACACTAAAATTTATAATAAAAAATATGTACTGCATATTCAATATTTTGTAGACATTGAATATACAATGTCACTTAAAGATTAACTACATAGAGTATAACTACATTAACATAAGTACATAGTGTTATTCCTTACCAAAAAATGAATTGAAAAGTTCTGAATCATTTTTTTCTATAACACTTAATAAAAGAGTAATTATTGAGTAAAGTCAGGCCAATTTTACTCAATAATTACTTTTTTATTAAGTGTTATAGAAAAAAAATGATCCAGGATTTTTCGATTCATTTTTTGGTAAAGAATAATGCTATGTACTTAATGGACGATCTTTAAGTGACACCCTGTATATAAACAAAGAGATAGATATATATTTATAATATATTTTAAGCATATAATTCACTTGGCTCTTGCCAACTGTTTACTATTTAATATGAAAGCAAAATTATTAGAGGATTTTTTTTTAAATTCCCCGAGTCTCAATAAAATTCTATGAGAAACCCCTGATTTCTCCAGGTACAAAAGAAATTCAGGTGTTCCATATTTATCCAGGTAGTAGACATCTTTTATCTCTGAATGTACTATTATTAATGCCAACCATAAAGCTAAAATATTCCTTCGATGGATCAATTAGATTGGACAGAGATACACCCGGTAAAGGGTCTAATAAGTAGAACTCACAGCTAACGGGGGAAGCGGGGGACTTGGCCTAGGCTGCACCAGATCCACCGGTTGTAGGGAAGTCTGCTGCGTCTGTTGCGGGGGACTGTCGCTCTTGCGTAGGCTAAGGTTCTCCGGCGCCGGGGTGTCCTCCCTCTGCGGCGTCAAGGCCGGCGTCAAGGGCGGCGTGTGCGTCGGGCTCTGCGAGCCCGGTTCGGGGCTGCCGTCCTCGGAATCGTTGAGACTGCTAGTGCGCTTCCTCAGCGTCGCCTCGCCGGATTCCGGTATCCCCGACGAAGTCGGCACCACTGTAACATTCGCCACTTTGCGGGTGAACTTTATGCGGGCAACTCAACAGCTTATTGACGTGTGCGAGAATACGAGGGGAGCCTGAAGTCGATTGTAACGAGGGGTAATTGAGATATTGACGTTAATTGCAGGACGGAAAGAAACGGAACGATTAAGTAATGAAATATCATATATATATATATATTTTTTTTTAATATTAAGATTCTAAATCCACTCATCTACACATCCTCACTTATCATATAATACACAAATGAAAAGATAATTTTTTATATTTTTTATATAGATTTTATTTTTTTATATTTTATATTTGATCTCTATGAGAGACAAAAATGTATGAGATTATTATTTCATATTGAAGAAAAAAGAGTAAGGTAAAAGATGTATTTCTCAGACAATGTATACATATGTATTAGTAATCTTAGTTAGTTTACCTAATGAATGATCGACTCGCAGCTCGCCACCGGAATCGGAATCACGATCGTCCTCGTTACCGATATCACTTGTCGACAGGATCGTTGCCGTCGTGCTCTCGGAGACTCTGGATCGCTTCGATCCTGCAAATACAGAGAGAATGTATCTACTTAAACCTTGTAAAAAAAATCGGAAAATCGCGATCTCCCCTGTTTTTACCAATCAAGATTATTGGAGAATAATTGAGGGAGGTCGCGCAAACGTATAAAGAGACATCTCTCTCTCTCTCTCTCTCTCTCCAGCGTTTTATCCCGGCGAAAAGTAAAGCAGGGCACGGAATACACTCGAGAGCACGTCGAGTTTTGTAGCATTCGTGTATGCACGCGCGCGCGCGCACACGTCGGTGAAAAATGCGTGAAAGAATCCCCCCGCGCGTGCGAGCGCAAGTCTCTGACCGCTCGTTAAAAAGTTTAACCGTCCGTTTATTAGCAGGGGGAGAGAGATTGATAGACCGGGGAAATATATGTAGCCAGAGGAGCGGCTACGCGAACGGCTTCAGCTTTCGTCTCCCCCCTCCCCCTCCCTCACCCCCCTAACCAAATCCTCCCTCTTGTTCGAGCGCCCCTTCGCTCGTGCCGTTCAAGCACGCCGGGACTCTTTAGCGTGTGCGCTTAACCGCGATTTCTCCTCGTACGGTGAATTTACGTTTCCTCGACGCGATACGGGCCGACGAGTGTATATACCATGTGATTTATCGATCAGTAGCGATTATTTAATCTCCTTTACGGTGTACGTTTTAATTCCATCTTCTTTCGCTCCGCGTGTTTCTCTCGGATTCTAAGTCGTAATTCGCTTTCATATATCGATAATCGTGTTCTTTCTCGATTTAAACGCGTTGACGCATTATTTTCATTAATTTGTATCGCTAATTAATCTTCAAAATCCGTTCGATTTGTTTCAGCGCGTCGTTGAATGAATCGAGATAATATCGAGGGCGAACGGGTTTCCCCTCTCGAAGAGAAAAATTCCGCAACAGAGGATACAGCCTCTTCTCCCCATCCC